AAATTGTTGGGTTATATGCGGTTAAGAAACTTGGTTTAGCCTTTATTCCTATGAGCATTCCGCTCATGTACGGCTTTGTGCTGTTTTCTTGGATGTGGTGGAGTCGCGCTGTGATTCGCTATGCCACACTGCGTACTTTTGTGAAAAAGCAAAACCGTAAACGTGTCGCGATTTATGGTGCAGGGCTTGCGGGACAACAAATTGCGGCCGCGTTATATCGCTCGGATGACTATTTGCCCGTCTGTTTTATTGATGATAAAGCTTCGCTACAAGGGCAGTCTTTAAGCGGACTAAAAATCTTTTCACCGAAAAAGGCGCTAGGAGCATTTCGTAAGTTTCACATCGAAGAAATATTACTGGCTATGCCATCAGCGAGTCGTGCACGTAAAAAAGCAATTATTGAGTCTTTTGAACCTTCAAATGTCAAAATTATGGAACTGCCTGGTGTCACCCAACTGGTAGGCGGCCGCGTTCAAGTCTCCGACATTAGAGAAGTCGATATTATTGACTTACTTGGGCGTGATCCAGTACCACCAAAGTTAGACCTTTTAGAAAAGAATATTAAAAATAAAGTGGTGATGGTGACGGGTGCAGGTGGATCAATTGGTTCAGAGCTTTGCCGTCAGATCGTGAAGCATCAGCCGACATGTCTGGTTTTATTTGAAATGTCTGAATTTGCACTGTATTCCATTGACCGCGAATTACAAAACGCAGGTGTAGAAGTAGTGCCTATACTAGGTTCTGTGACTCACCAAATAAAATTGGAACGTATATTGCAACAGCATGCTGTGCAAACGGTTTACCATGCAGCAGCTTATAAGCATGTGCCCTTGGTTGAGGCCAACCCGTTTGAAGGGATCTATAATACTTCAATTGGTACGGCCCGTAGTGTTGATGCCGCTGTGGCTCAAGGGGTAGAAACCTTTGTCTTGATTTCTACGGACAAAGCTGTACGTCCAACCAATGTCATGGGTGCATCGAAACGGATGGCCGAATTGTATTGCCAAGGTTTAGCTGCCACAAAACCGCAAACACAAATCAGTATAGTTCGTTTTGGTAATGTATTAGGTTCATCAGGTTCTGTCGTTCCTTTGTTTAAAAAACAGATTGAAAAAGGTGGACCTGTTACAGTAACGCATCCTGAGGTGACTCGTTATTTTATGACCATTCCTGAGGCTGCGCAGTTGGTGATTCAGGCGGGGGCAATGGGAACAGGCGGAGATGTTTTTCTACTGGATATGGGTGAACCCGTTAAAATTGTTGATTTGGCTAAACAGATGATTCGTCTAAGTGGGTTTAAACCTATGGATGAAAAAGGTCTAG